CCCCCCCCCCTCTTATTCTCTTAGCCTCTCCCTCCTTTTTCCCTCTCTCTCTCTCTCTCTCTCTCTCTCTCTCTCTCTCTCCTCTCTCTTTCTGTGTGCACCTCTCATAGCAGTGGTCTTGAGCATCCTTGCTTCTGCTGATGCTGCTATAAATATCTGCCCGGTAGCCGTAACGCGGCAGAGAGCAGCAGGCAGGCCAGAGGGAGGAGCAGGAGACCAGAGGACAGGACAGGACAGTAAAGGACGGGACAGTAAAGGGTAGGACAGCTGAGGCAGAGACGACAACAGGATGACAGGAGGTAGAGTGAGAAAAAGAAGAAGGGGGGAGAAGAGAAGAGTTGAACTGATTAGTTAGCTCTGGCTGAGAACGGTGCGTTTCGTGTGCTCTGTAGTCAGATCTAATGTTTTCTGCTGGACTATGAAGTCAATTATTGGCCTGAACTTGATCTGGACAAAAAGGAAGCTCTGCTGGAGCTGCACGTTGTTGGACTGAGTGAAGTTTGAGGCTCAACAGTGGGGAAACTGGAGTTGGACTTTACCATAGCACCCAGCGAGAAACGGAAACGCTTGTCCGAGCCGCTGGGCCGTGAAGTTTCACGTGGAGATGCGGGCCGGCACGGGCCGGGGTGGGGCTGAGATGTCATGCTCCTGTGTTGCTGGTGGTGCCTGAGGCCAGAGGCGGTGGAGCTGGACAACAGGAGGGTGGACCACCGCGTGTTGAACTGCGAGGCCACCGCTGCAGCTTCTACTGCCATCGCGGCCGTTTCCATTGAGCAGTGGGAGCCGGAAACGAACGGCAGCGACTTGCCGCCCTCCCAGAGGTCTGCTGATTGGTGCAGTTGGGGAGGCCTGAATTTAAAGCTGCACAGCGTAACCTTTACCTGCGTTTTGTTGTCATTTTGCCTTTGTTTGGCCTTTTGTTGACTGAAATGCCATAACATTTTATTGGAATGCTTTGTCATTCCTCCTAAAAGTCCGGAACGTGAATGTTGGAGAGGCAGCAGGAACTGCTTTTCAGCAGCGAAATCCACTTTGTAAACCTAACGTACTCTCCTTCTACAGAGGACGTTTAAACAACTGCTAACACTATTTCAAAATACAAAAAAAAATCATTATAATTTTTTATGCTAAAGTTGTTCGCTAACACTTTTAAGTCATTGTCTGATGGTCAAGGAGGGCAGAGTCTGACAGATACAGTTGTCTAACACTGCTTTGTAACTTCGTAACTTCACAGTTGTCTAACACTGCTTTGTAACTTTAATATTTTTTTATTATCGTGGTTCTTAAGATTTTTCTTTTTTTAATCAGACCCTGAACTCCGCTCTGTTTATATATTTATTTTACAGTGTGAAGAACTCCAGCTACAGTCTGCCGTCCTACCACCCCTACAGTAACAGTTACGACTACTCTGACCAGAGCAGACAGAGTGAACGCCTGGGCCTCTGTGGACTCTCCAACCTGGGCAACACTTGCTTCATGAACTCTGCTGTGCAGGTAACGAGTGTGGCTTTAAGGTGATTTGAACATGTGTTACTAAAAGTCTTTAAACTTAGCGATTGCTCAGGATGTTAGATTTTTGTTGAGCCAGTATCTGAGATGTACTTTTCAAACTAAAGTTTGAAATAAAAACACAGACAAAGACAAAGTCTGTTGTTTTTGTGTGTAGTATTTTGTAATTCTATAAATAAAAACATGTAGTTAACTAGGAAAAAATAAGATAAAGATAAAGAATGCTTTTAAACCACTGCAGTTAACTAGGAAAAAATAAGATAAAGAATGCTTTTAAACCACTGTTTCTTCACCTGTTATTGTTTTTTTGTTTCTTCACAGTGTTTGAGCAATATCCCTCCATTGACTGAGTACTTCCTCAAAGACAAATACACAGATGAGCTGAATGAGGACAACCCACTGGGAATGAAAGGAGAGATCGCCAAGGCCTACGCTGAAGTCATCAAGCAGCTGTGGTCGGGCAAATACAGCTATGTCACCCCCCGGCCTTTCAAGGTGAAAAGTTGGGGGAGGGAAAACTCGAACTCTCTCTGTGTTTTTGTTTCTCTTAATATTTTGTTCCTTCTAATCTGTGTACACTTCCATTCCCCAGACTCAAGTCGGCCGGTTCGCACCCCAGTTCTCAGGCTACCAGCAGCAGGACTCTCACGAGCTGTTGGCCTTCCTCCTCGACGGCCTACATGAGGACTTGAACCGTATCAGGAAGAAACCCTACATCCAGCTAAAGGACGCTTACGGCCGGCCGGACAAGGTCGGGATAAATTTTTTTTTTTTTAAGTCTTTGGGAAAAGTTACTCTTTATATTTCTGCTCACAATTGCATTTAAAAAAACAAAAGTTTTAGTCTCATTTGTGTCCTGTCATGTCCTGTAGGTGGTAGCAGAGGAAGCCTGGGAGAACCACATCAAGAGAAACGACTCCATCATTGTGGACATCTTCCACGGCCTCTTCAAATCCACCCTGGTCTGTCCCGTGTGCTCGAAAGTCTCCGTGACCTTCGATCCCTTCTGCTACTTGACGCTGCCTCTGCCCATGAAGAAGGAGCGGACGCTGGAGGTCTACTTGGTCCGACTGGACCCTCTGGCCAAGCCGACACAGGTAACATACGGACGCACGTGAAGTTCTTATGGAGAAGATTCCACCTGAGGACAATCGGTGATGCTGTTCTGGTTGTGTTTCAGTACAAATTGACTGTTCCGAAGGTTGGCTACATCTCTGACCTGTGTATCTCCCTCTCCAACCTGTCTGGTGTTCCTGCGGACA